GTAGCGGTGGTGGTGGTCGAAAGAGACATGGGCTTGAAATGAGTACCATAGATCGAGAGCCCGGGGAGCTTTCTAGTGATGGGTCTGATGTGGCTATTGATTCGGAAACTCAAGTTAAGGAAGAGCATGACAGAAAAAAGGTGGGAATTGCGGATCAGCCGTCTCAGTGCAGAACAAGAAGCAGAAGTTTTCGCCAATTGTCTAGGATAGAGACGATAAGGAGGTAAACAGGACAGTTAAAAGTAGGAGCACAGTAGTTGCAACTAATTTAACACCTTCACCTGCATTTGTGAAATCTTCTCGGCAGTCACTAAGGCCAAAACCTAACCACGGACGAGAATGCAAGGATTTCACCTGCAGATGATAATCAGATTAGATTAGAAGCGTCGCCTTCTAAAGGTGAACTGAGATCTGATTTGTCTGAAATCCCAGCTGAAACATCTTCTATGCAAAGTCAGTTGGCCAAAAAGATGGAAACAGGGTCTCTTGATGATGATGATGATTATGTACCCACAAGAACCATTATTTCCTCCCGGTGGGCTAACGATGCTCATTCCCCTGCCGATGAAGGCGAGATTTCGGATTATGAAGACATGCATAATTTGAAGAGGAATTCTGGTGGAGAGTCAACTGATGTGAGAAGATTCGGTAAATCAGTGTCCTCAAGTTGAAGAGGTCAAAAGAGAAAGCTCCGTGGGGACTGAAGAGAGGTCCAGTAGGTCGGACTCCAGTAGAGATAGTTATCATGAAGAAGATGACAATAACGAATATATGGAAATAGATGAGAACCGTAATCATGACAATGCTAGAGCTATCGGAGACAGATTCCGAGGATGATTGTGGTTCTCATGGTACCTCGGAGTCCCCACAACCCCAACAAAGGAGTGTTAATATGCTTCAAGGTTGGAGAAGTGTCGATGAGTTTGAGAGACTCAACAAGATAGATGAAGGAACATACGGGGTTGTCTATAGGGCCAAGGATAAGAGGACTGGAGAAATTGTTGCTCTGAAGAAGGTTAAGATGGATAAGGAGAGAAAAGGGTTTCCGTTGACTTCACTGCGGGAGATAAACTTCCTTTTATCTTTCGGTCACCCTTTCATTGTGGATTTCAAAGAAGTAGTTGTCGGGAGCAATCTTGACAGCATCTTTATGGTCATGGAGTACATGGAACACGATCTTAAGGCATTGATGGAGACCATGAAGCAACCATTTAGCCAAAGTGAAGTTAAATGTCTCACGCTCCAACTTTTGAGTGGTGTCGAGTACCTCCATGACAATTGGGTGCTTCACAGGGATCTGAAAACGTCAAATTTACTTTTGAATAATTGCGAAAAGAATAAATCGCGAGTTCAAACGAGATGCACCAAATAAAATCAAACTAATAGCCTGCTGTAATATCCTCCAAAGCAAGAAAACGAAATATGCTCCTTTGTATATGTCACCACGCTACTGCCTTGAGGACAATCAAAAACTACTCCCTTCTCTGTTTTCTACCCACACGATATCCAACTATTCCTCTATGTGTTTTTCTTCTGTCTGCTCCTCCCAAAAATTAATCGCCGCCCCTCAAAAGCAAGAGTCCCAAAAAAACTGGTTTCCTTTCTTTTTCTATCTTTCCTATTAAGATCCCTAATCCAATAAGGAAAAAAATTAATACAATCAATAATATACACTAATTTAAAATAAATAAATAAACAAAAAAAGTTACAGAAAAACAAAAAATAAAAGATATATGAATTAACAAATGACTTTTGCTACTACTGAGATTTTATATATTTTGTTGTATGTATATCACTGAATTCAGCTAACACACACAGACACCACGTAACTGTTAGTAGAAATTTGATTAACATCACACAACTTAATTCATTCTAAAATCAACATCACACTGAACTTAATTCGTTTACAAACAGAAGAGATTCAATTCATATGCTCGACATTTTAAATTACAAACCTGTTTACAGCAGGGTTCGGTTTTTGCCTTTTTGGTTTGTTATCGATAAAAAACCAAAATCGAACCGTTTTTTCGGTAACCGAAAATCGGTTACCAACTTCTAATCGCTTTCGCATTTTAGTTGTACCGAACATATCGGTTCGGTATCGGTTTTCTCTTATTGGTTTAGTTACCGAAACGATTCCAACCCTACTTGATATATCTAAGAGTTTACCTTTCAATTCTTGAGATAAGCCCGAACGGTTCGCCATCCCTGAATGCATCTGCTCGCGTTGGCATTGGGGGCAATGAAGAGCCTCGGCTCATTGTAGAACTAATGAATTGCCATTAACCGAGCTCGAGAGGCGAGCACATTGTGTGGTGTGCTGCAGTATCTTCAATCTGACGATAATGGAGTGGGAGTAGACCGAGGGGAGGATTATCTCCCACTTGGTACTCCTGGTTCAAGTTAACCCCGTGACCAACAGGTGGGTTTGAATAAGGATGGCCCGGAATTTGCTTCGTCAATGAATGGTAGTGCATATTGGGCATGTTGAAATTGATGCACCTATTAGCCACTCTGGCTCTGTGCACTCTAATTGTTGCGTCTTTATTAGAGCAATATCCTGCTGAAGTTGGTGATGTTCTACTTGTTGAATGTTGAGTGCATTTTGAATTTGTTGCATTTGATTCTGGAGTCCATGGACATGAGCAGCAATTTCAGCCTGAATTAGGTTTGGAAGGTTTTGCATCTGTGCCTCAAGGTTCTGAATCAGTAACTAATTGTTGTGAATCTGAGTCTGAGCTTGGATTACGTTTGGCAGGTTCTGAACTTGTCCCTCGAGTTGGAGTTGTTCATTACAGACAATAATTTGGAACAACTGCAACAGCTGATGGTGGACGGGTGCCACGACATTACTCCTCCTAGCGAGAACGGTGTGTAACGGACCTCAGCCCCTGCAACATCGACATGGTTAAACTCAGCTACATCCCGACTTGAACGTTCCATTATGCGTCTCCTGTGAGACTCTCGTACGATCCGTTGGGATGGCATCGTTCGGAATCTCTTGGACGTCGATTCCCGTCAGAACTATATTTGGCGCAATGACGTAATCTCCGAGTGCTTGCAGAATAGGTAAATTATCCATGAGAGAGAGGGGAGATGATTATCCTCAAGTGATGTAGATCTATTTGCTGAGATCTAGGGTTTGGCCGTTTGGAAGAGGAGAAGTGGATGAAGTGTGTAGGGGTGCGGGAGTTGGGGTTTGGTGTGCATATTTTGACCCCAACTCGCACACCCCTACACACTTCATCCACTTCTCCTCTTCCAAACAGCCAAACCCTAGATCTCAGCAAATAGATCAGCAAATATAATCATCTCTCCTCTCTCTCTCATGATAATTTACCTATTTTGCATGCAATAGAAGATTACGTCATTGCGCCAAATAACGTCCAGGAGATTCCGAACGATGCCATCCCAACGGATCGTATGAGAGTCTCACAGGAGACGCATCATGGAACGTGCAAGTCGGGATGTAGCTGGGTTTAACCCTGTCGATGCTGCAGGGGCTGAGGTCCGTTACCACACCGTTCTCGCTAGAAGGAGTAATGCCGTGGCACCCGTCCACCATCAGCTGTTGCAGCTGTTCCAAATTATTGTTCGTAATGAACATCTCGAAGGAAAAGTTCAGAACCTGCCAAACGTAATCCAAGCTGACTCAGATTCACAACAATTAGTTACCGATTCAGAACCTTGAGACACAGATGCAAAACCTTCCAAACCTAATTCAGGCTGAAATTGCGGCTCATGTCCACGGACTCCATAATCAGATACAACAAATTTAAAATGCACTCAACATTCAACAAGCAGAACATCACCAACTTTAGCAGGACATTGCTCTAATTAACCGAAGGATGGATGCAACAATTAGAGTGCACAGAGCCAAAGTGGCTAATAGGAGCATCAATTCCAACATGCCCAATATGCACTACCATTCATTGCCGAAGCAAATTTCGGGACATCCTTATCCGAACCCACTTGTTGGTCACGAGGTTAACTTGAACCAAGAGTACCAAGTGGGAGATAATCCTCCCCTCGGTCTACTCCCACTCCATTATTGTCAGATTGAAGATACTGCAGCACATGATGTGCTCGCGTCTCGAGCTCGGTTAATGGCAATTCATTGGTTCTACAATGAGCCGATGCTCTTCATTACCCCCAATGCCAACGCGAGTAGATGCATTCAGGGATGGCGAACCATTCGGGCTTATCTCAAGAATTGAAAGGTAAACTCTTAGATATATTAAGTAGGGTTAGTATCATTTCGGTAACTGAACCGATAAGAGAAAAACCGATACTGAACCGATATGTTCGGTAACACTAAAATGCGAAACTGATTAGAAGTCGGTAATCGATTTTTTGTTACCGAAAAAACAGTTCGGTTTCGATTTTTTACCGATAACAAACTGAAAACCAAACCCTACTAACAGGTTTGTAATTGTTAAAATGCCGAGCAAATGAATTGAATCTCTTCATTGAATCTCTTCTGTTTGTAAACGAATTGAGTTCAGTCTGATGTTGATTTTAATTTTAGAATGAATTAAGTTGTTTGATGTTAATCAATAAACTGCTAACAGGTTATGTGTGTGTGTGTTAGATGAATTCAGTGACATACATAAAATCTTAGCAGTAACAGGAGCCATTTGTTAATTCATTTAACTTTTATTTTATATTTTGTTTTTCTGTAACTTTATTTGTTTATTTATTTATTTTAAATTAGTGTATATGTTTTATTGTATTAATTATTTTTTTCTTATTTGACTAGGGATCTTAATAGGAAAGATAGAAAAAGAAAGAAAACCAGTTTTTTTGGGACTCTTGCTTTTGAGGGGCAGCGATTAATTTTTGGGAGGACTCTTCCGGATAGTAAAAAAATTATTACCAGACATTTTCGGAGCACCGGCTCCTGAGTTCGAACCGAACCCATCATGCTGCAATTGCTTAATCACTAGTCGAGAGGTGAAAGTAAGTTCATTCTCTTCTTCAGTCGGCTGTGTCCTCAATATTTTCAGAAGTTGACTCCTTTTTCGGAAGTTGACTTTTCTCAATATGATTTTTCCCTTCCGATATTTCAACCAGGTTAACGGTCGTTGAATTTGCTTCCGAATTTTCGCACTCATGATAGATAGGTGGGCCCCCCTCGACTATAACTACTTCAGATGAATTAAATATCAAGCCGCATATAGAGCACACGATTACCGTATTAACCGGAGGGGCATTAGCGTCCGAAAAATCACTTCTATTCACATCCATAATTGTGCCAGCTGTGTCGACAGTTGGGTCCCGCAAGATCTTGTCACTTAAATCATGTGCCTGATCCATGACAAATATGTCGTCATCATCAGCATATGAATCATGGTACTTAAAAGGGTTGATTGTCGTGTCTTCTTGTTTTGGCTCGTTTATTTCGGTATCCTTGGGTCCACTTGTCCCTAGGTTGGTACTAGGATTGCTTCTAGCTGTGACTGAAGAATATTTAGATGCCGAGGAATAATGTGGTGAACTTGCATGTCCTGCATGAAATGTCGAACTTGGGACACCGGAAAGCAGCGGTCTGAACATATTCGGTGGACGTTTTCGATCCTGAACTTTGAGAGAGAGAGAGAGAGAGAGAGAGAGAGAGGGGATGCAAAATTAGCAAATGCGAAATATGAATAGAATTTCATCTACAAAAGTACGAATTTATAATCATCAAACAAATAGTTGAACATAGCTACAGAATCAGTCAGGCTCATGCTTCAATTTGAGGACATCGTCATTCAAAAGGATATGATACTAGGAGCATATTTAATGTTTCAAAATGAAGGTTGCAATAAAGGGGTTGAATCAATAAATATTTCAAAAAGTAAACGAATCACGCCACAAGAACATCGCGCTATGAAAAGCATAAGCGGAAAGAGCGGACCAAAAATTATTCTGCAGAAGACAAATAATCCAACTAATAGTCTTTTTGACAGCTATATATTGGTCCATGATAGGGATTATAGTACCGACTCGGTCCGATGGAGTAAAGACCCATAAAGCTGTCGGGCTAACCGGGGTAGTAGCCGGAAACATATGGTCGACCCACGTAGGGTCTCG